ATGCAATTTGTTGAACTTGGTGTTTGATTGACCAATTCGTATAGAATTTTCTTTGATTGTCAAAGTTTAAATTGTTTTGTTGATTGTCTTATAATCACTATAATTGTAAGTTTTTTTTCAAATCAACAAAGCTCACAAGAAAAATCTGAAAAATTGATTGTTCACCAAATATTTGATAAATTGTTTTGTTCTATTTTTTATACAAATTGCATTGGAAATAAGTTGCTAAAGTGAATTGTTGATAACGATTAATTGTAAAACTTTTTGTTAATCGTTTGTACCATTGTTGTTCTATTTGACTCTCACATATTCAGGTTTCCAATAACTTGGTTCGTTTAGACGACCCTTTGATCTCGTAAATCCTTCTTCACACATTGCGTCCAATAAATGTTGAGCTCGTAAATAATCTCTACCACATGAAGTCTCTGTTGAAATGACTTAATGCACTTGTAACCTGTATCATTTTCAGCCACTAGAGGAGCGTCAAAGAACAATATGTTCGACATGGAGGTAAGTGGTTTGTATGGGTGTTTTGTAACACCCTAGTTTTAGTAAAAAAAAAATTATTTTGAATTAATTATAGTTTGGTATATTTATTTAATTATTATGTGTGAATGATTAAATAAATATGAGTGCAAGGGAGGGTGTGTGACCTTATAGTAGGGTATGGAGAGTAATTAGAGAAAAACAGAAAAATTAGAATTATTTTATTAATTAAAATAATGATTTGATTCTATTATTTAAAATAAACACATTGATGAATCAGATACAAAACTTTAAAATCTTTCTTCTTCTCTTCCATGTGCATGGCTTTTTGTGTAGTCGTTGCACCTTTAATAAGTGGATTAACACCATTATTGATTACTTTAAGAACATCTTGATAACCAAACAACACCTTCATCTCTTTGCAGCACTTGTCATAATTTTTCGCATTGAGAATTGAGAGATTTTGTTGGTGATTTTAGTATCGCCAATGTATTTTAGTAGTAATGTGATTTACTAAAGGTCGATGCAATTATGCGTTAAGTTCGGAAACGAGTTAGGGAAGTGCGGAGTGCACGCTCGTCGAGCCAATGCATAATTGAATATGAATAATTGAAACGGGGTTCCAAGGGGCGAAGCCCCTGGCGGGGTACGGGGCGAAGCCCCGTTGGGGTTCCAAGGGGCGAAGCCCCTGGCGAGGTGGGGGCAGCGCTCCGTTCGAAAATTTTGAATCCTTTTCCCCAACCGACATAACCGTTTTCGAACAGGTGTGTCTTTTCGGTTTCAGTTATTGATCTCCTATATAAGGAGTCATTTGGCCTCGGTTTCAAGAACGAAAAAACAATACTTTCTCTCTACATTTGTAATCAGTTTTCTTTTGTCAGAAACAGATTGTTCTTCGAGAATTATCCCCACAAAGATTTCGTGAACCCAGACAAGAATAGGGTCGAAATACTTTGTTCGGAAAGTGTACGAACACGATTCTTCGAAGTTATCCAGGATTATCATACCTAAATTTCTAACAGATTTGCAGTGATACATTCATTGGAGATGGAAATCATTTTTGCATACTAAGTACTCAATCAAAAAATCAGACTCTTGATGTCAAATATTTGGAAAAACTCCAACTCAAGATAAATTGATGAACAACGAAAGATGGAGAAAATGATAGAATTAGAGAGAATTAGATTGAAAATTATTATTATTATTATTTCATTAATGACCCAACATAGATATTTATACAACAATACGGATCAATATAGATAACAAACTAAAAAGGAAATAAAATTTTATGACCCTGTAACCCGTTACACCAAATCTGTAACCAATTACAGGAAGCTACAGTCTCAAAAATACTGAAAAGTTGAAAGTAGTAATTGGTTACACTAAAATTATAACTGATTATATAATACCTCTGTTTGATTTTTTTGCTGCTAAAAATGGTAGTAATCAGTTACTCTTCTTCTGTAACCGATTATACAAACTTAAATTACATTATTTTTCACAATAATTTTAGTGCAATTCCGTCGTAAAATATTCATACACTGAAATAAATTTATTTATCGTTCCATTTCCATTCTATTTTTCCTTGTTAGTTATAAAATTATTCAACCATAGCCTAATATTTATTTTCTTTAAATATAAAATGTAATCAAAGTAAAAAAAGATAGATATACAAATACGGAGGGCAACAAAACCAAAGCCCTCTGAAAGTTTAGCAAAGGCCTAATCTATTATGATTAAAGGGTTCTGTGATAGGCACGTGGATTTCATACCACCAGATATAACCTCGAATGCTTAATTCTAACGAAGCCAATTTGTCAGCATATTGGTTACCTTATCTTATATGCGTGAGACTATAAACATTATTTTCTAGCTATCTTTTGTGCCATTAGACCTCCTATTCTATAATTGCCAAGGAACTATAACTGAAATTTTGAATGCTAATGTCACTAATTTGTAATAAGATTCTAACATAAAATAAAATGGAGCCAGCCTTAGAGAAAAAGCAATTGAATGGTTTATATAGCCCTTGTGATCTCAGCAACCAAAGCAGTTCGATGACCTAAGTTTTTAGCAAAACATTCAATTAGGCAAGTTGTGTTAGTTATGAAAATACCCCACACGAGGTAGCTCCAAGAGCACCAACAGAAACACCATATGTGTTGCACTTGACCCAATTTAGGATAAGAGAGTGTTAAATAACTTCTTTGAATAACTTTGGCTTATGAGGGTGAGCTTTGACATCAAAGGAATTGAGAACTAAAAAGTCTATGAATGAACTAGAAGTGGAACAACTAGTACTATTACATGTAAAGTTCGTATTGGATATGATCGTGTTGATATCATTCCTTCAATATTAGTGTTCTCTTTGAAATCTTTTTTGATCCCTTCAGTACATATTACATTCAGAGAGTTGATGAAGGCTGACATGATCACTATTTAAGCTTGATCAGACCATGCTTCATTATGAAGCTGAGCCAATCCCATTTTTAGGTGCAAAAGAATAGTTGAAAACAAGATGCTCCCTAGTTTTAACATACATATTCTGTAGAGGTCACAAATAGAGGCTAGATATCATTCTCTTTAAGAAAGGTTGCAGATGGTCATTTCACAGTGGCTGTAAAAGTGTTGGGATCAGTCGGAGTAGTCATATATAATGGACATATGATGATATTTTGTCATTACATATATTTCACTGAAGAATCAGAGAAAAATCAGTCGAAGATGAGTAAATATGAAGTATAAAGGTCAAAGAATGATACAAAAATCACTAAGTATGAAGAAGTAGGAACTTAGTAAAAGTTGGATGAAAAATGAAGCAAAAGGAAAAAGTTATTGGAATAATCATGCAAGCATCGCGGGATGTCGCATGCGTGCTAGAGTTGTGTAAGCAGCATCGCGCGTGCAATGATATCTATGATGCGCGATAAACCCTTTTTGTGACGCGTTCTGACTGATTCATATTGATTTAAAAGGGGATGTTTGGCATCTTTTCAAGTGTTCTGCGAATTGACCGGAAGTGACGAAAAAGAGTATCAGAAGTGTGATTTCGAGAGCATTGGATGCCCATTCTTCGATTTTCTCATGTAATCTTCATCTTATTTGATGAACTTATTTTGAACATGTTGAGACATATGTTTAATTTGTCAGTGCATGAATAATTAAAGTTATAATGCTTTTTATATGAGATACTA